TTTCTTTTTTTTCCTTAAAGTGAAGTAATGTTTGTTTGCTTATTAAAACACTTTTAAAAGTTTTGAAAATATTATTTAAGTTTTGCTAAAAAATACATAATCTAATAGAATATATAAAATTATTATGTTTATTATAGTTCTAATTTTTTATTGTGCGTTTAACAACACCAATAATATAATATTTTATTTACTTATTAAGTACTTAATATGATATTATTATTTGTAAAGGTTTTAAAAAATGTCAAAATAACTAAACATCTTTTTGATGTTAAAGATTAAAAAACTAAGCATGCGAATGCCGCGATAACAAGGATGTGTATAAAGCCTGTAATTCTAAAATGAACAAGAAATGGTTATTTTAAGATTTGTTAAAAATGGTAATCCAATAATATATTAACTGGTATTAATTCACCACTGACAGTTGATTCCAATTGTATATATGACAGTTGATGCCAATATATGATGCAACAGAAAAGTTTAAAAAAGTTTAACAACAGAAAATAAAGATTAAGATTTACATTTAAAGAAAAACTGTAAATGTTACGTTGCTATGATGGTGCATCATCTTAAAAAATAACTATGATATTGTGGAGAAGGGGAGGGGGTTAAATATCTATACAAAAACTGTAAATGTTAGCTATGATGGTGCATCTGTAATGTCTTGCAATATGACTGGTGTTCAAACTAAAATATGAAATTAAAAAATTCTAGTATAGTGTATACCCATTTCCTGGCATATAGATTAGAACTTTCTGTGTAGACTCAATAAAATTTGATAATTATTTTAAAAAGTTTGATTGCAGCATCAATAGTTTGTTTCATTTTTACTATGATTCATTGCAAAGAAAGGAACTGAAAGAAATAGCTTCTTTTTTAGATGAAGAGTTTAAACAACATTAAAGAGCATTTGTTGGTTAAATATATATATATATTTTGGTTAGGTTCAAAAGACAACATGCTGTCAAAATTTATATGGGAATTAAAAGATAAAAATATTGATGATTTTGTAATGAATTGGTCCATCCTTATAACAGCACCTGCATATAACAATATACTGCATATAACAATATTATTAACAAAAAAAGCATACTATGCCTACAAAAAAAATTTGAAATTATTACACATGCAAACCAAAAATGTTTATTAAACAAAAAATTGGAATTAATTTCAAAATGCAGGCACGAAAATAAGTTTCTCCTATAAAATTATTTAAAAAAATAATAAGTGAGTAATAATAAAAGTGAATAATAAAAATTATTGATAGAGAAAAACAATATACAGATAAAAGATTCTGCCACGATTTCAATCAAGAGCCATTAAAATCTTTAACCACAATCTTTGATTGTTGAAACTGGCCATAATCGTTTACAAATTCATTAGAGATAAATTTTTTTTTAAACAACAACATTTGATTTAATTTAACAACATTTGATTTAATTTAAAGTGTTTGCAACTTTTATGAGCATGTTTGAGCTTTATGAGCATAACTTTTATGAGATATTTATGAGTAATACGATAAGCTTAGAAACTTCTAAATTATGTTTATTGGCCTTTATTCAGGGAGAAAGTTTCTTAACTGAGGACAAATTCACTTTGGACCATTTACAAAGATATTTTACTGGAAAATGAACCTGAATTGGCAAGTATAAATGTTTGGTTAGAGATTATGTTAACTTTCAGTGCTTAAATGGCAAGTTGTGAACGCAGTTGTATGAACAAAAAAATATTCATTTTAAGCTTGATGGTCATTTAATTGAAGACATTTTGCCCCATAAACATGTCAAAAATTGGATTGGCGTAGCAGTTAGTAATAGACATTCGGAAGGCCATAAATCAAAAGGTTCTTGCGAATCATAAATGCATTTACATAAATGTAGAAATTAATATATAAATATTGATGAGACATAATTGTGCGAAATTTCTTTAGTTTCTTTTATTTTAATTTCTTCAGGTTTTTATGTTTTTTTTTTTGTTAGTAAATAAATTTAAAGAACTAAATTGAGAAAAATTCACTGTTTTGTACTATTGGATAACAATTATCAATAATTGCATATTAATAATCATTAATTAACATACACTTTGTAAATGCGTAAAAAATTGTTTCAAAAACATAAAAATTGATTAAACTCAATAAGTATCTAATGATCTCTTAACTTATTAACAAGAATAAAAGTTATTTGAAAATAAAACTCCCTTATTTGACATGTTTCTTTTAAATTAGATGTTGTATATATCATTTTATTTTAATGAACATCAGTGTTCATTAAAATAAAATGATATATACACCCTATATATATATATATATATATATATATATATATATATATATATATATATATATATATATATATATATATATATATATATATATATATATATATATATATATATATATATATATGTATATATATATATATATATATATATGTTGTCGATCACAGCCTTGCATATTCGAGGCATAGATTTGATCAGGTGATCAATGAAACTTTGTGCAGTCGCTGCCCAGGCCTTTTGGATTTGTAGTATAGTTCGTTTTGTTTTTAAGACATGTAAAATTAGGAACACTTTTTAGCATTGTTCGATGTTGGTTGCAAATGTTTTATCCAATACTGTGTATATATATATATATATATATATATATATATATATATATATATATATATATATATATATATATATATATATATATATATATATATATATATATATATATATATATATATATATATATATATATATATATAGATAAATAGATAGATAGATATATAGATATAGATATAGATACAAGGGTTGAATTAAGGCATCGCGATTTGCGATATCTATGAAATTATCTGGTTTTCAAAGTTTCAGTTTATGGAAAACCACGAAATTACGGAATAGGCGAATAAACTTTAATTTGTTAGTGAAAATTTTATGAAAAACAAAACAATAAATTTATGACTATAAAAGTAATAATACTACAGCGTTGTTACTTTTATAACACTCTTTTAAGTCACATTTATAGTTTATTGTTTGATCAAACAATACATAATCAAGCTATTATAAATAAAAATGATTTAGTTAAGTAATTCCAAACTTTAATTAAAGTAGTATTTTAATTGATGCATCTAGAAAAAATACAAAAGTACTTTAATTAATGCATCTAGAAAAAAGTACTTTAATTAATGCATCTAAAAGTACTTTAATTAATGCATCTAGAAAAAATAAAAAAGTACTTTAATTAATGCATCTAGAAAAAAGTACTTTAATTAATGCATCTAGAAAAAAGTACTTTAATTAATGCATCTAGAAAAAATACAATGGATATTTAAACAATCTTAAAAACCTCAGCAACTTTTACGAATACAACCAGTTTATTCGTAAACATCTTACTAACGGTCCGGAAAAACCTGCGTTTACTTTAAAAATAAAAGTAAAGTAAGACAAAAAAATATATTTCTAAATATACTTCTTTATAACTAAAATTTATTAAAAACCACTATTTTTAGTTTTAAGTAAATGTCAGTACTAGTTTCAGTGGCGAAACTATATAAACGAAGAAAATTATCTGGAGCAAAATCTTCCATTGATCTATCTGTATTAACAATATCAAATTTAGAAAGAGAAAACAATAGATCTAACCCTGATGCCTAATTTTTATTTTTATGAATATGTCTTTTTTCTTTTGTAATAACTTCACTTTATAGAACCTTTTACAATTAAATTTCTTTGGGACACTCTTTCAAGTCTCTCTGTAATCCAGTGGTACGAAGAACTTGCACATATTTTTTAAATGCATGGGTTAATAGCCAGCACTTTATATTTTAAACCACAAATTTTTATAACAAATTTTTGATAACTTTTAGCCATAAAAAAGTATATTTTAAAATATATATTTTTATCTTTACTTTTATTACTATTTAATTAACTAATTAGTAAAAAAAAATTATAGCCCCCCTCCCCTTATAACCTCCCCCCTTTAATATAGATTTCTCCTGGTAAGTACATTACCAGTGTTTTCATTGGTTGATTTTAAAGTTGCCTACCCCTCCCGCAGTTTCGCCACTGAGAGTAGTACTGACATTTACTTAAAACTAAAAACAGAGGTGTTCAATTTAACAAATTTTAGTTATAAAGAAGTATATTTAGAAATATATTTTTTTGTCTTATGATTTAAATGATTAAATAATAAAACAAAATTTAAGTTTATAGCCTCCTTCCCCCCTCCCCTTTTAATATAGATTTCTCCTAAGAAGTAAATTACCAGTGTTTTCATTGGTTGATTTTAAAGTGAACGCGTGTTTTTTCCGGACCGTTAGTAAGATGTTTAGAAATGCTAAAATGTTTATAAAAATATGTATTCGTAAAAGTTACTAAGGCTTATAACATTGTTTAAATATCCATTGTATTTTTTCTAGATGCATTACTACTTTAATTAAAGTTTGGAATTACTTAACTAAATCATTTTTATTTATAATAGCTTGATTATGTGTTGTTTGATCAAACAATAAACTAAAAATGTAACTTAAAAGAGTGTTATAAAAGTAACAACACTGTAGTGTTATTACTTTTGTTGTCGTAAATTTGTTTTGTTTTTCATAACATTTTCACTAACAAATTAAAGTTTATTCCCCGATTCCGTAAATTTCATGGTTTTCCATTAACTGAAACTTTGAAGACAAGATAATTTCACAGATATCGCCTTAATTCAACCCTTGTATCTATATCTATATCTATATATTTATCTATCTATCTATCTATATATATATATATATATATATATATATATATATATATATATATATATATATATATATATATATATATATATATATATATATATATATATATATATATATATATATATATATATATATACATATACATATATATATATATATATATATATATATATATATATATATATATATATATATATATATATATATATATATATATATATATATATATATATATATATATATATATATATATACAACAAATTTATATTTTGTTTATAGAATCTGGTGTTCAACAGTTAAAAGTTGTACAAGTAACATCATCATTTATCACTTTTGAATGGCTTCCACCATTAAATCGTCCTGCACCTAATTTTATATACATTTATTCTTGGTCAAGTGATCTTTTAAAAGGGAGATCCATTTCTACAGAAAAAAATACAATAGAAAAGTCTGTAACAATTCATTCAGAAGTTTTTGGTGGCATTCGTTATAAAATAGGAGTTTGTCTTTTTTATCATGATCATGAATATCCAGAATCATGTGTTTATACTTATGTAAGAACCCCAGACGGTTACCCTATAAATGGTCCACTAATTACATCACTGAATGCAGAAACACTAAGTCCAGACAATATAACTGATTGTTCTTCTTATTTTTGTGTAAGTTATTCATAATTTATCTTATATTATTTTGTTATGATCATTACGTTTTTATCCTCATTTTCTTTTCTTTTTTTCTAAGTTCAGTGTCTTAAATTAATTCTCTCTATATTTTTTTGTTTTGGTTTATTTTTATTTTTTATATTAACATATTCAGGCTTGGTGGGGAAGCGGGTGCGATCGCACTCGATAACTGACCACGAAAATAATATTTAGTTGCAAAAAACTGTCCAGATTTTTTAATCGTTTTGAGAACATTCAAGTTTGTGTATGTTTTCTTGTTTGTCAGCATAATAATAATTAAGTTCATTATTTTATCTGAAATTTTAAAATATTTTGTTTTACGGACTTACATGGAAACATACATAAACTCGAATGTTCTTAAACATCTTTGTGCGGAAAAATAAAAAAATATTAGCGAATACAAAAAGCCCACCAAATCTAGAAACAACTAATTCTATTGGTTCAAAAAATACCAGCCACTATTTCTAGAGTATTCAAAAAATACTAACCGAATATATGTAATTTTATGTGTGTGTATTTTATTCAAATGTAATCTTTTAAAGCAATTTGTGCAATTGATTTTGTAAACAAAAATATTTTTTTTAATAAAATTATTTATAATCATCAAAGATAATAAAAATAATTTTAACCACTAATCCATTTTCCTCAGTGTACCCGATAACTGATTCTTTCCCCCAAGAAAGAAAAGTTTTAAAGTTCTTAGAAATTGGTTTACTAACTTCCATTATTTTTGCTTCAGCCATTCTTACAAACTCGTTATACGTAAACTTAAAGTTACTTTTTTCTGCTTTAAATACTAATTAAAATTAAAAAGCCCACTCACTAAACATATTGTGAAGCAGTTCCGCTTCCTCCTTACAAAGTAATTTAATGTTTTTAGTTAATTTCTATCTAGCTAATTAAATTTCTACAGTAATCTCAATTATTTAAATATTACATTTGTTCATCTTACTTAGAAGAATTGTTTCAAATGTGTTAAACTTTTCAAACTACGCGAATCATAAAACAGTTATTGAAAAAACTTTTTTATTTATAAATAAATCATCTAGCGTTAGTTTTATTGGTTGAATCTTGTCGGGGGCTGCATTATTTTTGTGGCCTTTTTTATGTGCCACAGCGTAAAAATGATTACAATATACTGAATGGCCCTCTTGACTATTTCGCGGCCCCTAACATTGTGAGTCTTGGGACTATAGCCCTTCTACCTCCCCTACCTTTTTAATCCAGCACTGGAAATAAGACATAAGTATATAAATAAAAGTTATATATACTCTTTGATAAATCGAAAAACATTTGTTTCCTTATTAAACAATCATTAATAGTAAGTTGTTACTTTATATAAAAAATGTCGCTTAATTTTATAAAAAAAAATTATAAAAGAGCGACGTTTCAAAAATATTTGCTCTAATTGTATTTATTTTGCTTGAAGTTTTTTCGTGTTAAAAGCTTTAAACTGTCTCTCATCGGTCCAGTTAATCTTATTACACTTTTTTGTTTGTTTTTGATATGTTATCAAAACGACTAAAAAATCTGGCCGGTTTTACGCAACTAAATATTATTTCCATGGTCAATTATTGAGTGCGATTGCACCGGCTTCCCGACCAAGCCTGCATATTACAGTTCTACCATTGGCGTATTCTGGTAGGTTTTGACACCAGTATACTGGTTTTGTCTTCAAAACATTTACTGAATTCATGTACCATTACTGGTAACTTTCCACAAACAAATGAGAAACTTTTTTTTGAAAATAGTTTACCTGGACATGTCAATGTCTTTTCTTTATAATTGCATACATTGTGAGCGATTATGTGCACTTGTCAAATTTTGTCATAAATACTTTCTATTCTGCAGCCATTTTTCAAAATGCCTTATATGCCTATTACATATTTCAAAAAAAACGCAATTAAAAAAAAATTCTTAGGAGAAACTTTGTAAAACGTTTTTTGAAACAAATAATTTTTATGAATTTTTTCAGAACTCTTTGAAAATATATATTTAATAAGGTTTGTAGACGTCTAAACTAGCTTATTTTGTAAAAAAGTTGAAAATTATTTTTTTTTACCTTTAAGCATTCTTAAAAATGGCTGCAGAGTAGAAAAGTCAAGTTGCTATTTTGATATTTTATGAAAATAATTTTGAATTCCTACTTCTTATTTCATGCTTGTGTTGATCATATTTATTAACATTATTATTAATGATCATTTATTTAATATGTTAAAAGTTTATCAAATTGCATTTTTAGTGTAACAAGACATTTTCAAATCTGTATATCTTTTTAGGGCAATCATTTTTTTTTTTTTTTTTTGCAGTAATAAAAGATGGTTAAGCTTTGTTTTTTTGCAAATAAATTTTTTTTTTGCGGTTTCATCAGTTGTCTTTTAATGTTTTTGTAACAATATTTTTTATTAAGCAGCTGATTTTCAAAGTTTTATAAGTTTTATTAAAATTATTTTTAATGTCATTGAAAAGTAAATTTGATTAGCTTTTTTTTCTTTCTATTATTATTCATCTATTAGGCTAGCGCAGATGTATTTTTAATACATTGTTTCCAGTTTAGGATGTTGTCAGGTTTCCCAAACTCTGTGGTAGCTCTTAGAGAGACTGATTCCATCAACAGCTGTAAAATATCAGACTACTAACAGTGCCATGTTGCGCATGGATAATGTCCGTGTTCATACTTTTGGAGTGCATTGTTGAGGCCACAATTGGAGCCCTTTGTTACGGCTTTATTAATATTATGGTTTATTAATAGTAATGAAGCTATTGCTTGGACGGTTAGATAGTGTACTGATGGATAGATAGTACTATCTGTGTTAAGTCAAGTTCTTTAGCTAATTTAAAAAATGACTAAAGTATCAAAAATTATAGAACACAAAAAACCATTGTCATCACCAAATTCTCTAAATCTATTATTCACTTCTGCTGAGTCTTATCTCTTGCATATCTTGCGCCAGACATACTTACTCTTTGTGAGATTAATTTGAGTTCAGCTCATCTTGTGATCTTAGTGTTGATGGTTATCTTCCATTTGTTTGTAAAGACTCCAATAGTCACATGCTTGGCTTGGGCATTTACATTCAAAAGAATTCTCCCAATAGTTGGAAAACTAGGTTTGAATCCACAGAATATTCTTTTATGTGCTCTCCTTTAGCACCACTTTGCTCCAACACCTTTCCCTTTGTTCTATACTGCTTTCCTTTATCTCAAGATTGCACTCTTTCAATGTTATTTCTGCTCAAATTGACCAAGTCCTTTCTCTTTATTCTTCAGCCAATATTGTTGCTGGTGGTGACTTTGATGCTCACCACACTAAATGACTTGGTTCTAGTGTCAGTGACTCTACAGGTGTTAAAGCCTACAACTTTTGCCTTTCTCAATCTCTACACAAATAGTCAACTTTCCAACTTGGTTTCCATATAATCCAAATCATTTACCTTCTCTACTTGACTCGTGTCTTGTTTCTGATCCTAGTCAGTGCTTAGTTTCTCCACATTTATCATTAGGTGCTTCTGATCATGGATTGATCTTTCTAAAACTATTATCTCATTCTTCTTCATCATCAGAATCCCCTATCATCTTACCTTTTACAACTACCTTTAAGCTGACTAGGACTCTTTGTGTGATTTGCTTTATGATGGCCCTTGGGTAGATTTCTTCGTGCTGACAAATGTGCTTCTCATGTAACTTCTTGGATTTAAGTTGTCACTGAATCTTTTATTATCCTCTCTATGATTCCAAATCAAGCCTCACTCTTCTCCATGATTTTCATTTCATTGTGCTACTGCAATTTCAAATCGTAGCTATCATTTCCATATCTATAGCCAAAACTATTCTCAAGAAAACAGGCGTCTGTTTACTATTGCTAGAAACCATTTTAAAAGCCGAAGCCTGCTTTTCTCAGTTCTCAAAATCTTGTATTTCTTCTCATAAGGCTTCTTCAATTAGGCTCCTTTTGGACGCTACTCTGTTATATTATATATGTAAATACAACAGATAATATGTAAGGATGCAATTTTCTAATATATTTTGTGGGTATGTGTGTGTGTGTGTGTGAGTGTGTGTAATGTTATGATATTCCTGTATTAAATTTTTTTTTACTTTTTTTTAGTTAAGATTGACTTGGTTTAACCCTCCTTGGTTTTCAAATGGTGAAGTTAAATATTACTTGTTAAAAGCATTAAGTGTTGCCTCACCTTTTGCAGTGGATATTCCACACAATACTAGTTTGCTTTTATTAGACAATTTACCCAGTGATATAAATAACACTTTAACTATAATGAATAATGATGATCTTTTTAAGTTATGGATGACCTCAACAACATCTTTTGGAGAAGGACCAATGAGTAACTCATTTCTTGTATCTAAGAATTCTTTGTGGGACAAAGGTTTTTAAAATGTTTTGTTTGTTACAATTACAACTTTTTTTAAATGTGTATGTAATATGCGTATGTGTTAGGGTGGAATGCATAAAGTTGAAAATTTGAGACAAGCGCAAAAAGTTTTCTTAACTAAAAAATAAAAAGTTATCAATTAATGATTCAGGAAAGTGTTATCTTTCAAGAATTGAACAATGTCTTCCACTTCCAAATGTTATTG